ATTTAACGAATATTTAATCAATAAAAACGTTTGTAATCCTAAAAAATTTTCTGGTCATACAACAAGAAAACCTAAATGAGATGTAGCGACAAATATGATCAATCGATAGATTAATTTGATCATTGTAAAGTTAGAAAATTGAATAATAATAACTCCGATTCAATTTAGACTATAACTCTCCGAGTTAAGATGTATAACTCGGTTCTGATAAGAAAATATTGTAGACGTCCTATCCTAATGGCTAGACAGTCGTCTGATCAATTAGAAGTCTGGAATCATCAAACTGGATCTAATAAAACTGTTTTTGTCTTCGATAATCATGCCATTAATCTTGATACATACATCAGTCGTATTGATATTTATTTCTTATTTAAGATATGTATGAAATTTTCTATTTAGATTGAAAATGATAAATGTACACAGAATTACCTGCACGAGATCATTCATATACTATTCTGAATTTAAAAGAAGATGATGAAGTTTCATTTCATGTTCAACCTCTCAATGTAGTTCATTCAAGTGAGTCAAGTCGACCAATAGATGTAGTTATCATTGAAGATCATATGGGTACACATTCTTCTAGTTTCATTATCGATTTACAAATCGAAGTGTAAGTTTTCCAGTCCTTCTTACTCTTAATAATTAGGATCAAAGATTAATGGCATGATATCGAAGACAAAAACAGTTGTATGAGATCCAGTTTGATGATTCCAGACTTCTAATTGATCAGACGACTGTCAAGTCATTAGGATAGGACGTCTACAATATTTTCTTATCAGAACCGAATTATACATCTTAACTCGGAGAGTTATGGTCTAAATTGAATCGGAGTTATTATTATTCAATTTTCTACCTATACAATGATCAAATTAATCTATCGATTGATCATATTTGTCGCTACATCTCATTTAGGTTTTCTTGTTGTATGGCCAGAAAAGTTTTTAGGATTACAAACGTTTTTATTGATTAAATATTCGTTAAATATGGTTACATTCATGTACTCGCTTATCCGTACAAAATATGAGTAAATCTGTGATAAATTGCAATGTTGAATGATTATGTGATAACATTATTTGATCAAATTAAGGATGAATGAATTCAGTTTTTATTTGGATCTGATATTCGCTGTTCGATAAATTCTGATCTATTTTTATAAATGACACTTCTAGATTTAAACACTCTTGTTCGATTACTAAAATGTAGATCTGAACTAATTGATCTCTAGATAAAATACTATGACATGTTTCTACTTAATCAAATAATCTGATCCTTGTTCCTCGCTAGAGACGAACAGGATCAAGAAAATTTGTTTTTCAAAATTTATTCGTATTGAATACAATAATCGGTTTTTGATTGATTCAATCGACTTATCTCTTCTGACCATTCCTCTTCGTCTTAGGCTAATTTTTTATTACTCATCTCGATTTTACAGACTTCTATTCTTTACAGGTTTAGTCTTCGATATTTGATCTAGTCAAATCGATAATCATCATCAACGACAATTCTAAACTTTACTTTTTCTTCTGCATAAAATACTTACATCAATAGGAATACCATTCTCATACCATTTAACAGATGCCTTTTAGATCATTAATACAACACTCAAGTATAGTTTGTTTCGTTCGAAATACTTCCATTTTATCTAGCAATTCTTTATAAAAATTATATAATGGTTTAGCAGCCAAAAACACTAATAAATAATCAGTTGCAATTTCTAAATTATCATAAATACTTACATGTTACTTCAAGCCATGCAGATGTTTCAATATCATTGACACGACAAACATATTTTCTTGAATCATCAGGATGTAATTTATCAATAGTTAATATTTGTCTAAACGAAAAGATTTTCGTTCAAGTTTAAATTTTAGATTTGACTTACTTAGCTCGACTTAAATCAAAATGATATTTTAAACCATAAAATATTTCAACTTTATTTTTAAGTCTTAAATAAAACTATTAATTTCCTATTGAAATTGAATGTATCAAACCTACCATCATATTCGTCTACTTCATTTATGAAATGTATATTGAAATGTTATTTTTCCATCTTCTTCTTTACATTTAAGATCTTTAATAGTTCAATAAATAATTCACCTTCATATTGATCTAAACATTGAATTATATGATCAATTTCAATTTTTTATGCTTGTATATGATCAAATCCGAACACACTATCATTCATTACAATAAAACATGAATAATATATCGATCTGTGACCATTTCGAAGCAATAATTTAGATATTGATATTCCATAATGCATGTATTGTTCAACTTTTCTGGTCGTTTAACTATATGTAAAGTTGACCAATTAAATATAACAACAGCTAATGATAGTTAATGTACTTTGGCATCTCGTCTAACTTGAAATAAATTTTCTTGATCAACATGTTGAAATTATGGTCTTTGATCATCCATTACACTCGAACGACATGGACCAGGTGCACTTTCATCATCATCACCTACGACCACCATCACCCGTTTGAGGTATAGAGATGCACAACAACAACTAAAAATAAAAAATACACTCAAGTTCTGATCCTAATTTAAATATTACTACAAATAATTGAATGTTGTTTTTGAAAATATTTCTAACTAAGTTTCTATTTAAAAGTTCAATTGGTTTCTATACATTATCTTTTCGAGTTCATCGATGCGAATTTGTAAAGCTGAAAGAAATAGAAAAAAAATGAATAAGATTAAAAGACGAAAATAATAATTCAACTAATCATGCAAAACCATTCTGATCTATTACTATTATTATTCTATATTTAACTATTAGTTTTCCATATTTACAAACGAGTTTTAGATTTATTTGTTCTCTTTTTCTTCTTCATATTCAAGTTTTCTCTTTTGTTCTTCGTGTATATCACGAAAATCTGCTGTATTATCTTTCTTCGATATATATATGAACAAGGAATTATTGAATATAATGTTCTAATCTAATATTTGTTTTTATAGCTCTAACATAAAGATGAAATTTTTCTTGAACAATCTCTATGTTCATTTTGTAATGTAATATCATTGTGTGAATCATCAGTTTGACGACATTTTGAAATAAATAAAGTAGTAATACTTGTTGTTGTATTAATTTCTGTTTTAAACTTAACATCTTTAGCTATTTCAACTTTTCCTTTATATCAAAACATTTTAAGAAATAGATGTCCATCAATAACAATATCAGTAAATGTCGATTGTTCTGAAGTATTCCTAGTTTATTTATAAGTACTAATTTATAATAACTAATACTAATTTAATTACCTTCTTTCGCATTCGTAATTTCTGATTTTTCAACAAAAAAAACGATGCAAGTGGTTCTGTATGTGTTTCAAGCGGTTCACGTACTTTATGTTGATGTGGCTTTGATGCATCTTGGTAATCATGCTTTAGGATTAATTGACATGCTTTATAAATTTACTTAATTGACATTCTACTATTATATCAAGTTTTGCTTGTGATACACGTTTAACTTTATCAGCTGGTTTAGAATGACGAAAACCATCTGCTTTACATCCGGATTCTTCAATTAAATAGATTCAAAATAAAAAATATTATATGTTACAATTAAATTGATTTTACTCTCAATAGAAGGTACACACTGATCATCTTCTACAACATTAGTTGCAGGTAATGTTTCTATTGTTGGTATTGCTATAAAGTAGAGCTTTGATGAATATTTAAATTATTAGAAGAATTTGAAATTATTACCTGTTTGAATTTTTTCTTGTTCAAGTGCTTGTTTTCGTTGATCTTTTTTACTTGATTCTTCATTAGTTTTTGGAGCTGTTTTTGTAGGTGATTTTCTTACATGTTTTGCTTTACCACGTTTATCTATTTGAAAAGAAAATTATTTGTTTTTCTTTTAGACGAACAAAATGGGACTCGCTCGATGTATTAGGAAAGAGATGATCTATGTTCGGAATATTCTTATCTGATTATTCAATGGTTTCAATAAATATTGTATATATGTATGATGTAATAATTATTAAGAGTTACAGAATGAAATTGAAACTATGATCATGACTAACTGACATCATTTTATTTACTCTAGACACTATAGAATGAGTATTATATATAGGAATTGACATATGTCTGTCTGTGTATCTTGAATATGACTTACACTAACAGCAATATGTAGTTTGAATCAACAACAATAATAAAATTCTCCAATGTGGTTTCATTGACAGAATAGTTCGGTATTAAAATAAAAGAATGTGTGAATAACTACTTGTTGAAAGTTAAACTCATGAATGCATCGTCTTGATATATGATCTCAATTCTGAATTATTATCATTTATGCAATATGTTATATTTAGATATGAAGTCAAATCGTTTATTTCTAAATAAAGATACTTGCTCTGATCTACTGAATCAGATGACACAATACTTTTCTCTTCCTTTGAATCTTGAGATCATTTTCTATTTGATTGTCAAAGGTATTTATGATGCGACAGTTTCTTAATATAGTTCATAATCAATTAAATAAGTTTAATATATGAGATAATATTCGTATGTTTAAAGTGTGATGGATGTTACTTGTTTACATGAAAAGACAATATAGATTTACCTTTAACAATTACATGAACTGTTTGTGTTGATTCACCAGCTTCATTCCATGTTTCACACGTCCAATCATCAGTATCTTCCATTTAACGATCAGAAATTGTTAGTTCAGTTGTTGTATCATCATATTCTTGTACATAATCCTAGTATAGAAAACATTTATATTATTCCTTGGAAACAACATATGTGTGTTGAAGAACTGGTACCGATTCAACCAAAACAAAATGAGTGTTTACTATGATGACCTATTAAGTAATTAAGCATACATCTGATTGTTTCATTTATTTTTTTATTGAAAAATCATGTAATTTCAGATACTGATAAGCCAGTTACTTTACATTGATTTTGTACTTTATCACCATCACTAGATGTCTAGAAATACAAGAAAATACAAAGAGTAATTGTAGGAAAAAAAATAAATAGAATAGATGACATACCACTTCCTTTGATTTATCCCCAAAAGCAGGTGCTGTCATTTTACCACCAATTGTTTTTGTTGGCTTAGGTTTTTGTTCATCTTAGTCTTTCCTACAGAGAAGAAAACAAAGAACTGTAAGAATAATTAATAAATAATGATCTTCTTACGACGATTCAGCATCAGCATCGACTATTAAATTAACTAATGCTTGAGAATTATCAAGGTTATTTGTAGCTAATATTTTATAAACACTTGTATCCGTTGAAGCAGCATTCTAAGTAAAGAACAATGAATTCATTTTGTTGTAATTAATGTTAAAAAAACTTACTAAAATTTCAAGAATATATAGCCTGATTAAGTTATTCTTGATAGTTTCGTTCAGTTTGCTGTATTTAAACAGAACCTCAGGTATTTCTTATTTTGATATAGTTGGATAGAGCATCGATTAGTCCACCAAACTATATAGTTTTTATTTTATTTATTTTGCGCCTTGTTCAAAAAATTAATAAATTCCGAGGAGCCCTGGAACGTAACTTTTGCACGCTCATATTCCAGTTCGACTAAACTCATTAATGATGGAAACTATTTTAAATGAAATCGATTCATCAAATTTCCTTATTCGAAAAATATTAAACAAAACGGATTCGAAATTGAGGAGAAAACTGAATTTTGCTGTTAAAATTTGATCAACATTTGCACTTATGAAAAACCAGATTATAGTGGTTTCCGTAAAAGTTCATCTATAGGACTGGACGTAAATCAAACCAAAATGATATAAATCGGTAGAGAAATTAACGCTCTATTCAGCTATATATCAACCACAAAAGGTTTATATACTTAAACAGCCAAAACTTCTTTGAAGAAAAGTTAAAAACCATATATGAAGAAAAATTCAGGAACTTATTTCTCAGAAAAGTCGCCCAAGTTTATAGTAGAGATAAAGTATAAGCCCAATGAAAAATATATAGTTCGGTAGAATAAAGAACGGTCTATTATTCTATATAAAAATAAAAAGTTTTAGCACTCCAGATAATAGTAAAAATAATTAGCTGTGAGACGATCGGAAAATTGCTGGATGCAAAAATCGCTGATGACTGCTTTTCGCAACGCATCAAATGCTGGCCAAGATTCAAAGTAAACAAAATGAAAATTATATGATCCGATGGAGTAATCAATGCTCTATCCAACTATATCAAAATAAGAAATATCCAAGGTTTTGTTAAAATACAGCGAACTGAACAAAACCATTCACATTAATGTAATCAACCTGTATTTCTCAGAAAAGTCAACAAGTTTATTACAAAGATAAAGAATAAGTCCAATGAAAAATATATAATTTGGTAGAGAAACGAACAATCTATTAAACTATATAAAAATAAAAGTTTCAGTATCTCGGCAAAAAGCAGTCATCGAAAAAAAATACCTCAGAAATGGCCTGAAAATTGCTGGATAAAAAATCTTTTTTCGACTTCTTTTCGAAATGTATCAAATTTAAGGACAAGATTCAAAATAAACAAAATAAAAACTACATAGTTCGGTAGAGTAATCGATGCTCCATCCAACTACATCAAAATAAGAAATACTTGAGGTTTTGGATAAATGCAGCAAATTGAACAAAACTCTCAAAAATAATGTTATCAAGCTGTATAAATATGTATCTTCATATTCTTTTGTTTTACTGATTTTATATTTATTAATTGTTTCTTTAATTTCTGTTTTATCTTTTTTTCATTTGATTTTTGGTTTTGGTTTTAATTTGGATTTTCCTTTACAACGACATTCAATTTCAATTGATTTCTATTTTGTATCTTTGGTGGTTTTAGGTTTTTCAAATGCTGAATATATTTTATCGAATTGTTCTAAATTATCTTTATCACCTATGCAAAAAAAAACAAATCATTTTAATTAAAATCTATGTGAATTATTAGATAATATACAAGCAATTTTGATAACAACATTAGATACAGCTATATGAAGTTCATTTGATAATGTACATTCATTATCCGATGAAGCTAAATTCTATACAAAAGAAAATTTGATTTAATAAATACAGAAAAATAAACAAAGAAATTTTTAAACCTTTATATCGAATGAAATTCTATATTAATTTCATCCTTCTCGATCAATATATCTAATAACTTGATCAACATTAAGTAATTCTTTTTTATCTTTAGTCTCGATATAGTAATGGATTTGTCTCAGCAGTACTGTCAATTTGAACAACAATAGCTGTTTTAACATCTTATTTGATTGTTGGTTTAGAACAAAATGAATGAACAAGATCATCTGATAAGCTAATAAATGAAAAAAAATAAACAAGTTCAACTTACCAAAAAAAATAAAAAACTAAAATAAAATGATAAATTTGTCTTTGCTTAGATAAACAATCTCTTTTTGATAAATTTTCTATTTGACTTTCATCTTTATTTGATATTCATGTTTGCACTAAATATTTCCAATTAACAATAGGTAAATCATTTATATCTTCATAAATATTATTTAAACGATTTCCTAAAATGAATCTTTCATAAGATTGACTACTACGTAAATGCAATGAAATTGAAGGTGAAATAAGTTTTGAATTAAATTGAATTAAATAACTTTTATCAATCAATAATAGGTAAACTAGACTATCATCTTGCTAAACATAATTCTAATGTTCTTTTATGTTGGACATTAAAATAGTATTGAAATGTTGAATGAAATGATAAATGAATTCTTTTTTCAAATTCTGTTAAAACGAAATGAACGATCTGATTCAACTTGAACAAAATATAAATTTATTTGAACAGATAAATCACTAGAATGATTTGTCATTCTAAAACCTATTCGAGAAAATAATTCAATATTCAATAGAAGAAATAAATATAAATAAACAAACCAGCTATATTTTAATCAGTTGGAACTTGAAATAAATGACGATGAATTTGACTAGCTTTAAATATTTGAGAATTAAATTCGAAAGAATAAATTTGAGCATTCACACTTCAAAGAAAAAACAAAAGAAGTAAAATAGAATTCATATTCTAATTCCAATTGCTGCTACCTAATTGATTTTATAATTGTTATTGGAAAACGAGTCAAAGCTTTAATGAATTTATATAAGACCAGCACCAGCAGAAAATTCATCATCTAATTTTTGTGCTGCATTCATTAATTCATGACAAATTAATGATGGACTATATTCAATTTATTCTTGTTTTAATGCACTTAATAAAAGAACTACACAAATAAGAACAATAAATCATTTTTTTTTCTAAATAAGATTCGATCGTTACCAATACAACCAGCAGCATTTGGTGATGCCATTGATGTTCCATTCATTAATTGTCTTTTATATAAACTAAATTGAGGAATACTAAAAGAAAACTTTCTTTTACTAAATTGAAAACAAAAATAAATAAACCTTGTAATAGCAGCGCCAGGTACACTAACACAAACTCCTAACCATCCATCAGTACATAGATCACGCGAATGGTGAAGTGAATAGTACTGTGCGACCTGTACATTCTCTTAATGCATATTTGTGTACTAACTATATGTGCTATCTCTCTACGCGTATATATAGGTCCTTTTTTCCTCTCTCTTCTCTTCTTTATTTCTTGTGCAATATCTATCTATTTTCTGTTTCGTACACATGTCGAACATTTCTTTCCTTCATCATTAAAATCTCGAAATTCATATTTGATTTTTCGTTCTATCTCTTTCTCTTATTGCGCAGTTGGAAAAGAAGATGTCTGACCAACTTCATTTGCTCCACTTAATGTTTAAACTAAGTTCACGTGAAAGAATGTACCCAGAGTATCTTTTTCGTTTTTGTTTTCCCTCTATATATATGTGGACATCCAGGGAAGAAATCTTTCTCACCAAATAATTAATTCCGACAAGAAATGAAATTCACCTCAAACAGCGATATTGCTATAGAAATAGATCTTGATACTAAAATTGTTTAAAAACAATTAATTCTATTACAGGTATGAGAAAAAGATTAACAACAATAAAGATTAATGACATTTGCACAAAAAAAAAATTTTACAAGAGTTATCATAATTGTAAAAAATTCTGTCAGCTTTATTTCTGAATTAAAAGCACACCCTCGAGTCCACGGGCATCATTTCCAATGAATAATCATAGTGTTTTTTGTCAAGAGAGAACAAAAATATACGATGACATTATTGTTTGATAAATGTTCTATAACCGTTAAATGCACAATTGATGTCAAAGTCATACGATGAGCAGCATTTCTTTCCAAAGCAAAAGTCAAAATCGACAAACAAAGATGCTCTTTCTACAACCATTTCACAGCTTCTATCAGCGATAGTTTTCCATAAGTCATGCATAAATACACGTATTGAACTCAACTATGATACAATTGAAAGTAAATGAAAAGCATTGATCGCTTTGGAAGCACATAAAAGAAGAATGAAAACAGAATGAATAATTGTTACAAATGAAAGGCAATAGTTCAAAGAATAGACTATATTCAAAAGAGTTGTGACGATGAAGAGTCGATCGATCTATATGAATAGGTCTATTGTAATAGGACAAGTGCAAGATTTCAATATAATTAGATAATGCCACATGAGATAAAGAGGATATGAATGATGGCAAAGTCTGATCTGATGCATTTAACGTACGAAGAAATGAGTGATCGATTGACGTCATTTTTTGAGAAGGGATTTCGAACGAGTGTACGTTGTCCATCCATCTATATGGAATAGATTCGTGAAAGAATTCATCAAATGTTCATGAAAGAGTATACCACATATGATCATAGTATTGACACTCTCGCTTCTGCAAATATAAACAATATATTAACACATTGTTTGATGAAACTCAAATTAGCAAGAAAAGACGAAAAATTTCATTCTCATTCATATCTTATCTTCCAGCAAAAGGCAAAGAAATCTAATTGAACGATAACTTACAAAAGAATTACCATCAATGAGCCAATGTGATTTGTCAGGCCGTTGACTAGCAAACGTTGCACTGATTATTTTTCGTAGATGAAAACAATTATCATGTGTTATATATTGTATCACTTTGATATATTCAGAACAATTGATACAGTGAAAAAAGAAATGAACATCAACATGACGATGATCAAAAAAAAGTGATGATGAACCAATACAATCTAAACCACTAATATTAATAAAAAGTGATGCATTAGCACGTTCAAGAATAGGCATTACACTTGACGATGACAATATTTCAAAAAGTATCCATTCATTTGTTCATATTGAGAAAAATTTTGCATAACAGTAAATGTATGGAAATTAATCGTTCATATCGATAGATTAGACACCAAGGGGGAAACGGCGGACTTTTGGACTTGAAGTTACTTTAAGCTACTTCAAGTTACTTTTAGCTACTTGAAGTAGCTTACTTTGAAGTACTTTTCAACTTCAAATTTATCTGAAATTATTTGAAGTTACTTTAAGCTACTTGTTCCCACTTTGGGCTACTTGGGTGGTACTTTGAGCTACTTCAAGTAGTCTACTTGGGCGTACTTTGGCGTACTTTTCTACTTGAAGTTCGCCGTTTCCTCCTTGTTAGACACTGATACAAGAGAATCAGTATTAGAATCACTCTTACCTATTTCTGTGTGCAATTGATGTAACGTGTCATAGAGTGCTTCTTTCGATATAAGACGCAACAAAACATCCACACTGAACAAAGAAAGATGCAGATAAATGAAAGAAACTTTCTCAGTAGTAATGAGCGAATATGTCCCATAATAATTCATGGCTAAGTCTAGAGGTCGAAGTGCAGGTAAGTGAATAAGAAGAACGTTATTTATTGAGATGACCATGTTGCCTGGTGGACAATCGGATTTTATCGAAAAATCATTCTAAAAAACAACAGTATAGAAATATCGATCCATTACGAATGAAAATACTATTTTATTTGTTAGATTCAAAGTAATAGTACTTTAATTGAAAAAAAAAAGAACAAAAAAGTGAAGGTTCTATTCAACGAAACTCTTTGTCTTTATTAGCAATTAATGGTACATCTGCTGAAAGTTTTCTGATACATAGGGACATTTTTCTGAACCATTTGTTGTAACTAATGCAAATCTGCAGACTCTCGAAACAATTCTCATTCTATTATAGATGATTATCGTTGAACGAAACCAATCTTCTATAATATTTTATTTCGCGAAGATTTCTAATACTTTTTTAACTTTGAAAACAAATGTGATCGCAATAGTTGTTCAAACAAGATACTTTTCGAATATATTTCGAACTATCAGAGATATTTCACAAGTTTCACAATGAAAATTGTTAAAAAGTTAGAAATAAGCTGTCAAATACTTTCATAGGATTATTTCAGAAGTCTTTCATATTGTATGAAAAACTATTTTATATTTCAAACGTATTGGTAAAACAATAAGGTTTAGTATTTTAGTTACATAAATTACAGGTTGATTACGTTATTCTTAATATTTTTGGTTAGCTCGCTGGATTTGTCCGATATTTGAAAAATTCCATATTTTGATATAAATGGATAGAGCATTAATTACTCTATCGAAATATATAACTTTCATTTTGTTCATCTTACATCTTGTCAAGAAAATTGTTCAATTTCGAAAATCGGTCGAATATGAATTTTCCTTGCAATAGTTTTGAGATCACTTTTCAGTTGATGATTTAAATAATTATCATATATTCAGATATTGAAATTTCCTTGTTCCTGTACAGATAAATAAAACATTCATTTCTCTATCAGAGTTATAAATGTGTGAGACCAGTTCTGATCTTGGATCCAACCATTGGGACCAAGACTAGGACCAAAATTAGAAACTCTAATGTGTTTTTAACTCTGATATTTTCCAAGTAAAATTTCTCGTACATCATGAATCAGTTTATTCTTTCGATATTAACCTCGTGTAATAGAAGAAAAACATGTATTAATAGAGGCGACAATATACACCTTTACCCTGATTAATATTAAAGAGTCATAAGTGTAATACATATATATCGGTAACACTTTGAAAAATTTTGTTTTTAAAGAAACAAAGTTATTTTGGTGTCACTTTAGAAGTTTCGTTAAATAATGATCTAATAGGTAGTTAAGTTTGTGGTGTGGATTCATTTGGTTTTGAGCATGTGATTGAATGTTCTTTCATAACATTTGTACCATCAGATGGTGTCCATGCTAATACTGATTTTTCATCATCGTAGAGGATAAAATCTTGACTAATATTATTGATCAAAATTTCGCGATATTGATCCCAATACGTGCTTTTAGCATCGAAAGGCTTCACGAGAAATAAACATTGATCATTGTTGATACAAAATTTTCTACTTCTGATTTAGTGAATGCTTTTTTCGTCATTAGAATAGACATCAACAAGATATTAATTATACAAAGACACGTTTTATAAAAATCATAATTAAAATTGTGAAAAGATAGGAAGGACTAAATGAAATAGACATTCGTTGCTCTGATAGGGTTGAAAGAACAAAAAAACAATCACAGTTCATTTGTCCTCTAAATATTGTTTACCAATGGAAGGAAAATAGATTTCTTGCCTCCAAGTTAGAATTGCACTACATTTATGAGTTATGGACTCCTAAAAGCTGAGATCGAAGCTATATGAACTGGAACCGGAACCAATAAAAGTTGGTTCTGCACATTCATAATCGGATCATATGCTTCACATTAGATTCACCACTCAAATTTCGCACAAATGTGATCATTCTAAGATGAAGAACAGGGATGGATTCACTAGAAAAATTGGCTCCAGAATTATTTTTTGATTCGAAATTCCATCTCTCATTAGGAAATCTGATATTTAAAATGTCGCCTTGACGAGTTTTCAATGAGTCAATCTCTAAAATAACTCAAGGTTCACAGTATAGACCTTTCAGAACTTTTCATGATTGCAATTAAAATACCAGCTTTCATAACAAAAAAATTCTCAAGTTGATGGTCTTATTCATTACTCTATGTGAGACGAACGGGACTTCAAATTAAAAAGAATCTTATAGGGCCAATTTGGACAAGAAATCTGACCCTGTCCTTTTGACATGAGCTTTTCCAAAATAATTTTTTTCGTTTATTTCTTGACAATATTTCGCTTGTCATAGCATCAGATTTTTTTCCATTGATATATAGGCAAAGAATTCTGGTTTTTCTATAGATTCTTATAATCATATTCTAATTTATTGGAAGTTTTTGCTGCAAAATTTTTGCAAAAATTATGAGAAATCTGGCTTATTGTAAATGTTGAAAATGAGATAATTCCAACAGTAAGATTTAATTATCTTCCAAATTCATATCAGCTTTGTTTAATATTTTACACACGTTTAAATTAGTTGACCCTCTAGGGTCTAGAAGGATCTTCAAGGTTAAAGAATTTTGTATCGAGATGATATGAGTATGAAAAAGTTTCATTTCATTGGTTCTTAAAATCTATTAATTTTTAGCTCAAGAAGGGTGATAAACCAAATGAAAATGATATAGTTCCCTAGAGTAATCAATGGCTTATCTAACCATATCAAAATAATCAAATTTCCGGCCTTTGCACAAATCCAGCAAACTAAACAAACCTACAAAAAATAACACAATCAATCTATATATTGGTAGTTTAATGTGAATTGGATTCAATTAAGCAAACAAAGAAAGTCTTTCGAAATAGTTTCGAGCAATTCCAAGCTCGATTTAGACAAATCATTTTTTCAATATTCGAGTTCGAATCAAGAAAAACTAACTTATTTATCTGTTGAATTTGATTGCCATCTTTGGTATTTATTCTCTAATTTTTTTGTCTGAGGAGTCTATTTTGCGATGATATTCTTAGGGTGTGGCTGTGGGTGTGGATGATAAGAAATAGATCTTCACCCACACCCCCACGCCTACACCCACACCCCCCCACACCCCCACCCACACCCCCCCCCCCCCCCCCCCCCCCCCCACCCCCACCCCCCCCCCCCCCCCCCCCCCCCCCCCCCCCCCCCACCCCCCCCCCCCCCCCCACACCCCCCCCCCCACACCCACACCCACCCCCACACCCCCACCCACACCCACACCCTCCCA